TTCAATGTGCCCAGTCGAGTTCACATTTCAACAGTCAACCTGGTAGCTGAAGTAGGCCTACTCCTTAAACCACATTTAGCATAATTGTTTGTTTGATCTGACTACAGCACTTTAAAGCTAAATGTAAAAGCTTTTTATTTAAGTTTTATTTTAAAATTGAATTAAATGTATTTAAAAGCTGGCCAAAGCTTGGCACTTTGCACTTTTTAGTTGCAAAAGTTTTTATTTTTGTATGAAGACATATAAAGTAATATCAAACTTTTCTTTTAAATTATGTCTACTGCAATCAATCACATAGGAAAAAGTAAACTACATTTATATAGACCTGCGAATCGTTTTTTGAATCGAGAATCGTTTTTGAATCGAAAATCGATTTTGAATCGAATTTTGAGACAAAAAATCGGTGACATTTTCTGAATCGTGCACCCCTAATGTACACGTAGCCTACTGTTCGCGCTCACCTTATCACCTTATTCACATCTCACCAGCGCACTTGAATCGGTGTTCGTAGATCGACTGGTCGAGACTATTTTTCAAAGATGGCTTCTTCCTGTATTCGCGAAGTTGACTGTGTGTATAAAATATCTTCTTATTAAACTGTATGGACACTGACAAAGTTCTCAATGATTCGGTTTGAATGTAGGGACCCTTATTATGCTACAGTGTTAGTGTGGGACCATTTGTAGCCTGGTTAGTGGTAATATAGTGGTATAGGCTAAACTGTTTTTATAGATAAAACTATTTACATTCGGCAATCATGAAAACAAATCTCAGATAACGGTTGACTGGGTAACAATGTGTAATTAAACCAAAGGTTCATTTTGCGCCGGAGTAACAACAAATGATGTTTTCTAACAAAGGGTTATGATTTGTATTTCTCTCTGTGCGAAATGGCGTCTCGTTTTCTTCAGGTGTGTTTGTCTGTGAAGTGTTGTCCTCTCACTGAAGTGTGCTCTCTTGTTTCCGGCAGGAGCTCCTCACAGTGTTAGCGGAGTATCCGTTCTTCGTGCGGGAGCGCGGCTGGTCTTCCTGCAGTCCCCAGCGGAGCGCGCAGCTGTACGGGCTGCAGTGCCGCCAGCTCAGCGCCGGGGACGTGTGTCTGGCTCTGACTCCCACACCCGCTCCGGAGATGCCCCCGCCCCGCGCGCCCGTCCCAGCGCCGCCGCTGCAGCCTTCAGAGCCACCGCGCACACGCAAGAGACGCTGGTCCGCACCCGACCTGCCGCCCGGAAGCAAGACTAGCACCCATTTACCTCAAGGCTCGAAGCTCGAGAGACGGCAGTGATGTTTCCAGGCGACTTCACTCCGCGGGAAGGTTTAGCAAATGATCAACAGCTAGTAACAGCTAGTAAATCGTCCTCTCTTATTAAACGTGATTTCAGAATGTAGAACAACATATGCTAGCCAATCCCAAAATGCACAATGAGACAATCAAACAATCACTTACTTGTGATGCCACGCACCTTTTAGTCATGCTAATCTCAAGCCTCTTTCTGCAGGGTATGTTGTTTCCGTCAGTATTATAACAAACCAATGCTACGGGATGGAAAAAAAGACAAAGTACACAATTATATGAGAATATATCATCACAAGTGTTCTGTGAAATAGTCTACTGTTATTTTGGTAATGCAGTCTTGTTTGATGCTTATGAACTGCGTTTGTACCTTCAGTCCAGCAGGCGAGCTGAATGTGAGTCAGTGTGGGGTCAGTATGCTAGTTCACTTTAGCATTACACAGTCCAGCCTGTTCTTACCCAGGGAAGAGACACTAATGATGGACTGCAACCAAACTCACACACGACCCTGGGCCGATGGTGCTAACGACACAGCAGAAAAGGCCTGTGGGGATTTGTGGGGGAAATCTAGTGTTTTGAACTCAGATACGGGTATATCTACTCTTGATTAAGCACACTCTATCACTTTATTTTTCTCTGATTTATTGTTGTTGTGGTTTCTCGAATAATGTTTGCTGTTAGATTTTTTTCTTTGTAAATGTTCTAAATGCTCTAAAATTGTATATTTTTAAAGTTGTGAGACTGTAATACAATGTTGGCTAGAAATAAAAGAACAGCTTTCTAGATTTATATCGAAAGGATCCAATTCCATTTTTAGCATCGCAATGAAACGAGGAATGAAAACAGGACCAATTCACGAGGTCTTCAGCCGCGTCATACACACGTATAAAACATGTCAAGCTAATGGAAAAGTTCAAATGTTAAACACAAAACTCAGCGAAAAGCAAATAATAATGGATTTGTTTCTAAAGAATAAATCAACGTAATCTCCCACAGTCCGAAATCTCCCACAACTCACTATATAGTGGGCTCTCGCCATTTTGTAGTGCTGTCCGAATGTATAGTGATGATTATTATACCCTAAATAGTCCACTCAATGTATCCCAGAATGCATTTCCCCAGTGTACAACCGATGGTCACTAACACTACTACATAGGAGGTAGGGAGTAGTGGTTTGAGTGGAGATTTCGGACAGTCTCTGTAAACGCCTTCTTTCCACGAGCCTGCTCTGCTCTGATTGGTCAGATGGCCCAGTGTGTTGTGATTGGTCGACTGCTTGCAGCAAGTGTCTGAAACATTTCATCTTTCTGAAAACTCATCTTTTGTAGCACATCCAGAGCATGAAGAACAGCATGAAACTCCAGTCTCAGAGAAAACTACAGTGTTCAAGGGTCACAGACAGCAGACGTCGTTCGCCGGCAGACAATGGAGATCACATGTTACATTGTAAATGTTCAATCAGGAAGTGAAACTGACGACTCGTTACGGCGATCCTTTCTAGGAGACAAAACTTCTTTTGTTGTGCACTTTGACCTTTAAAACTTTTCCTTCCGAAATAACCAAATGATACAGAAGATTGACCAAACTATTTATTTTCATTACATTTTCCACACAAAATTTTTTACAAGAAGATAAATCATAGTCTATTTGCACCAGTATCATGATTATTAGTAAAAATAAAGATTAGAATAAAGATATAAAGCATGAAAACATTTCATTCTACTGCAGTAAGAAATATAAATGTTTGCAGAAATCCAACAGAGGGATGTTGAAGTGTGTGCTGTGTCTAATCATTAGTTTTCGTGTGTGGGGGTGATCGCTTCATCTCCACATTATTAGGTGCATTATGCCTGCGGAGACACTCTACGGCAAACAGAGGAATCACCTACAGAGAGAGAGAGAGAGCGAGAGAGACATGACTACTCCACAGCACCCTCTACTGGCAGTCACAGAACTTGCAGAAAAGGGCTTTGCATTGGAACAACAACAATCTAGATTTTAGAGGATTGTCAGGACATTTTATATTAAGTTGATATGTTATACTTACAAAATAGATGATAAAATAATGAATAGGTAAATGAATAAGTAATACACGTATGTGTGAATAAGTTAAATTGCTTAAAATTATGTTTTGGTCCTGACCACAGCTCTGCCCCTTGGAGAAAAATGTTTTCAGAATAATGAGAACATATCTCATAATTATGACTTTGTATCTCATAAGTAAAAGAAACAATGCCATAATTATGATCAACAATGACTTCATAATAACGATTTCAATATGACTTAATAATGACTTAATAAATTCATAATAATGACTTCAATAATTTCTTAAGTTCTAATAATAATGACTTAAGAATTTGTTCAGTCACTGCGAGGCTGTTGAAAATCATATCTATGACAAAATTGCGTAATGCAGTTATGTAAATTAAGCGGTGGAAACCGGTGCCTATATGTTTGACAGTCACTTTTATTATTTTTATTATAAATATATTATAACTTTTATTATAAATATTTCAGTTTAATTTTAGGGGGGGAAAATTTCTGTTGATTCTCTGTCTAATGGCACCAAATACTACAGTACCCATGAGCCTCTGAATATGTTACTATTGAGATGACTTTGGAGATAATGGATATATCTGCAAATAATACATTAAACGTTTGGCTGGTCTTGTCAGAGCAGAAATGAAAGCTGATTTTCTTTTGGCTCCGGTCGTGTTCAAATGTAAGTTATGTGAGCTTATTTTGTCCATCTATCTATTAATTACAGGAATGTCTGTCTGTCTGTTAATCGCATATCTCTCGAACCATTGGATCTCAAACTTGACAAGTGTCTTTCTACGGGCACGGGTAAGTGCAGTGCCGAGTTTGACGTTGTTTGGATTAGAAATGCAAAAGATATCGCTAAACATATCGCTAAAAGAAGCACACATTGGCTTTTGCCGCTCTATCCGCTGGCCACTCCCCCTCACACACACACACACACACACACACTGAGTGAGCACAGCGCAGGACAGAGACAGGGGGACGAAGAAAGCAGATGTCTGCTGAATCGTCGCGCTTATTCATTTGAGCACTCAAACACACTCATGAACACACTGAGGACCGAAGAGAAATTCAAAGAAATATTTCACAATGCTACCATTCAAGCAGAGACAAGAGGGATCAATGTGCCTGAAGAGATTCCAGGACAAGCAAGGCGGCGAAAAGTACCAATAAAATGTAAGTACTGCTCCACATCAGCCACAGACTTTAGAGGATGTACTGATTCCCTGATTCAGGAACTCCACAGGCGATTTCAAGGGAAGGGGAACACTGACAGAACTGTGATGTCACTGCATTGATTGATTGAGCCATCAAAGTGGAAAGACACTGCAGATGCTGAAGCACTCAATGCTGCCCATACTCTCTGTGAGTTTCACAGAATTCAAGAGGACGAAGAACAGCTGCTGACTGAGCTTAGAGTTTTCCACTCTTCATTCAAGTGCCCATGCAATTTTGGAAACATTGAAGGAGTTTGATGCTCATGTTGTGTTTCCAACACTTTTTAAGCTGCTGAAAATCTCTGCAACACTACCTGTCTCACCAGCCACTGTTGAACGCTCGTTCTCGAAGTGAAAACTACACTTCGTAATGTGTGTGGACAAGAACGACTCTCTGATCTTCTGCTTCTGGCCATTGAAAAAGACATCCCAATCATAAAAGAAGAGATTATTAAGATATTTTTCAGGACATGGTACCAAATAGAAAGGTTTTGCTGTAAAGAGAATGGTAAATACCAAAATGTTTTATCAGCAGCCAGTGTGTAATTATAATGTTCTATCAAAACATCTACAATAAACTCTAAAATGTATTTGAGTGTGTTGTCTTCTCTTTTATTGTATATGTTGTAATAACTGAATAATTTGTGTTAACAAACAACCACCCCCTTAGTGCCCCTTTTCTGCCCCTCAAAATGTCTGTGCACTGCCCTGCACAGGTGTATAGATCAAACATGGACGGCAAGCAAGAAAGCAGACATGGATGTAAAGAATTCTTCTGTTTGAAGACCGGTTTAATATTTTCGAGTCAGTTGATTTCACCTACCAATCATATGAGAGGATCGCAGCTCTAACACGTTACAAGCCTATCAGAAGCAGAGGAGGGCGGGTCCTGGCGACACAGAGTGATAGAGATCCATACGTCATGTTAGCGTCGTCGGTGAAAGCATGGAGCGCGGGTTCATAAAGCCTGGGGATGATGTCCTACCCACGGGCATAACTTCCTATGCGGGCATGTCCCCCCCCCACTGTAGCATGAAACGAAGATTCAAGCTGTTTATTATCATCATCATTTTGTTCATATGAAAGTAAAAGTTTGCCATAAAGCAATTCGTTACATCGCGAGACCGGATATCATATATTTTCCTTAAATTATTATAATACAAAACATGTATTTTGTATTGTAATATTGATGTTGTTTTGGAGTTAAAAAAGAATATGTCTGTTTCATTCATTTTTGTGCAGTTGTGAGTTATAAGTTTAAATTTTCAACTGAATTAAATCCATTGAAGTCAATGGAGTTCATACTGGTAATCCTCATATACAGAAGTATGTGTTCATATATATATTAGGGCTGTGCAAAAGTTAATTGCGATTAATTATAATTATTTTGTATATATAAATACCTATGCATGCATGTATATATTTAAGAATTATTTGCGCTTAAATTCTGTATATATTAATAAATACATAATCCATATTATATAAATATAAATATTTCATATATGAATAACACATTTTCTTAAATATATACATGCATGTGTGTGTAATTTATATATACAAAATAATTATATACAGCACACACAAATATATTATGTAAACACAGACTTTTATTTTGGATGCGATTAATCGCAATTAATTTTTGCACAGCCCTAATATATATTTAATATACTAATATAAAAATGTATTCTCACGAATATTGATGAAAACTTTTGTGCATTCACTTATTAATGAGAAGTTACTGATTAAATATTATATAGTTGAAAAATATTAAGTTACCACTTTTTTATATTCCATTTCTTGTTATTTGTAACAGTATTTATTTTATTGATAATTATTTTCAAAAACGGTTTCTAAATGTTATTTGCATATAAAAATGCATATTATGTTTTTCATTATTAAGTAGTATCTTATTTAATGGAAACTTCATTTTTACAGTTTGAGGCAAAACATGTTCGAATAAAGAAATTCACAGCATTTCAACACAATTTCTGGACATGTGATACTTATGATAATAATCCATAAGCTATTCATTTGCTCACTCTTATTTGAATACTTAGTTGACTAATTTTAATATATGAAGAGTTCAGATGCAAAAGCCTCTATGTGCCATTTGAAATTTTCTTCTAGAATGATCATTTTTATCAAGCTTGTATATTTAAGTTCAGTAATTTCACTTAAATGGCAATGATCATTACCCATTAATTGTTATTTAAGTGAAATTACTGAACTTAAATATACAAGTTTGATACAAAATCATCATTAAAGAAGAAAATTTCAAATGGCATTTAGAGGTTTTTGCATCTGAACTCTTCATATGTATATGTATCATAGAGCAGAAGCTCAAACGTGTCACATGATGCAGGAAAAGCAATGGTTTGTTCTAGCTTTCTTGTTTAGTACACTAAATATATTGTGCTCATATGTGAATAAAAGCCTTAATTAAATCAGTGTGATCGTATCACTGTCACAGCTGGAGGCTGTAATGATCTCAAAACGATGGAGAATAAATAAAAGCAGTCATTAATAATT